GGCAACTGCTGTGGTAACAAATTTATTTAACAATTGCACTTTAATCTGAATTTTTCATTTTGGGTGAATAATTTACCTGTTGTTTCTACCGCAGCCAGCAGCACAGGTGCCCCCAGCGCCCCCCACTGGGTGCTGGTGGACAGGCTGGTGCAGCAGGTGGTCACCCAGCACCCCACCACGGGGGAGGACCACGAGCCTCCCGTCCTCCCCTCCCTCCACGTCCCCTCCATCGTCAAGGAGTGAGTCATGGTGGTGATGGTGGTGATGATGATGATGTCAATGGTAGTGATGGTGTCAATGATGATGGTAGTGATGGTGTTGAATGATGATGGTGATGGTGGTGGTGATGATGGTGGTGGTGGTGGTGGTGGTAGTGATGGTGTCCACGATGATAGTGATGTTAGTGATGGTGTCAAGGACTGAGTCTTGGTAGTGATGTAGTGATGGTGTCAATGATGGTGGTGATGGCGTCAACGATGGTAGTCGTTCGCTATTACCACTCATTTTAATACCAGCATTCGTTTATTTAGATCTGGATGGCTGTGAGTCAGGGAGCCAGGATAACATCTTGATAAGATAAAGTCTTGATAACATCTTAATAACAAATTTGTAATATCCCAATATTTTCACAGCTTGTTGCGGGTTTCAAACCCCTCTACTTGCTATTCCAGTCCTAGCCCACTGAGTATATTTGTATACCGATGACTAACGTTAAACCTGTTACACCCTAGATAAACTATTCTTGATAATATAAGGGTTGAATATAGTATAATATTATACATTATATTATAACCTAATTCAGTATAATATGATATAATACATTATAACGCAATACAATATAGTACATTATATTATAATATAATATAGAACCCCCTATAGGCTCATCAGCCTATAGGCTGACGAGCGAGCGCACGCTGTCGGAGCTGCGCCGCATAATATTTTATAACATGATATAACAAAATACATTATAAAATAACATAATACAATATAACATAATATAATATAACATAATATAATATAATATATATTTAAGAGAACACCCCCCCTAGGCTGGCCAGCGAGCGCACGCTGACGGAGCTGCGCCGGCGTCTGCGCGGCGCAGAGGAGGACCTGGCGGACCTCACGACGCAGCTCTGTGAGAAGGAGGCCGCCCTCGACGCCCTCACCAAGGAGNTCGTAACTTAAACGCAAAATTCCACCCTGGAAACATCGTAACTTAAACGCAAAATTCCACCCTGGAAACATCGTAACTTAAACGCAAAATTCCACCCTGGAAACATCGTAACTTAAACGCAAAATTCCACCCTGGAAACATCGTAACTTAAACGCAAAATTCCACCCTGGAAACATCGTAACTTAAACGCAAAATTCCACCCTGGAAACATCGTAACTTAAACGCAAAATTCCACCCTGGAAACATCGTAACTTAAACGCAAAATTCCACCCTGGAAACATCGTAACTTAAACGCAAAATTCCACCCTGGAAACATCGTAACTTAAACGCAAAATTCCACCCTGGAAACATCGTAACTTAAACGCAAAATTCCACCCTGGAAACATCGTAACTTAAACGCAAAATTCCACCCTGGAAACATCGTAACTTAAACGCAAAATTCCACCCTGGAAACATCGTAACTTAAACGCAAAATTCCACCCTGGAAACATCGTAACTTAAACGCAAAATTCCACCCTGGAAACATCGTAACTTAAACGCAAAATTCCACCCTGGAAACATCGTAACTTAAACGCAAAATTCCACCCTGGAAACATCGCAACTTAACATAAAATTCCACCCTGGAAACATAGCCACAAACTGGACTGCATTGAGCAATATACGTTATACCTGCGTAACATAAAACACTTGTGTTATTATACATTCTATAAGCAGCGAAAAGGTCAATCATGTAGAGTAAATCCTGATCAACTGACACTCCTGATCTCATCTCAACAGCACCACAGCCACTCATTTAATTTTCTCAACTAAAATTCAGTCATATAAACACTCAATCATACCAGCGTAAAAATCCGCACACCCCCGGGACAATCTACCAGGATTGTATAGTGAATAATTGTTACTTGTAATACTTACTTATTACTTTAGTGAATACTTATTACTTGAACTTTTTCTAGCTGCCTAGTACGACCTGAGCTTCTAATTTTATATTTTACGCTGGTAAAATATTTTTATTCATCGGGAATGACCGATTTAAAGGTTTTACCCGGAGGTCAGCACACATGTAATTGCTTTCTAATAATTTGGAGTTAGTAAATAAATTGGAAGGGCTAACCTGGACAAAGTTTGCTTTGCCCATGAACATGAAATATCAATAGAAAAATGGTGATCACTAAATCAGCTGTAATGAGTAATTATAGCACCATCAGTCTGAATTATTCACTCATACAGACTTCATTTCTATACTTGAATCGTTCCAGACACGCGAGTGTTTTGGGTCCGCACTCAATGCACATTCACAATATTAAAAAAGAAGATTAGAATAAATGCCCATAAAAGCTAAATTCTGCCTGAATCAACGAAAATTTAACACAATATTCTAACTATACACTATTCAGCACACATTTAATAAAAAATGATTAGATCCTCCCAAGCGGAATGCTAAAACTAGAGGGGACATCATGCCTTGCACTTGGCGGGGTTGGTTTTTAACTTTGAGGTGGGAATCACTCTGCTTTTAGCGTCTTTAACTTCGCTATCAGAAACTTTCTAGCGTTTAAACGCGACATTCAGGGCACTAGTCCCAGGGGGGTTGTTAGGGTAGGAGGGGGGCCTACTTACTATTGCGAGGGGCCTTACTTAGGTTTGTTAGACCTTATATAGCCTTCGCTTCCGCCCACTATAAAGGCCTTAATCGCGTGATCTATCACGTGTCTATCAGATGTTGACTCGTCGTCAAGCTCTATCAGGTCAAGTGAATATTATACGTCTCAATTACATAATAACGTAATATAATGCATAATTACATAATGAGGTAATAATGATATAATGATTATAATGAGACGCCAGATTGACACCGGACAGTAGGGTGGGGTTAGTAAGTAATATTTAATAATTATTAATTATTATTTATATTATTAATTATTATTTATAATAATTAATATTATTTATAATTATTATTTATAATAATTAATATTTATTTATTAATTAATATTTATATCGTTTATTGGGGGGTGATAGGGTAGGAG